AGAGAGAGAGAGAGAGATCCAACGAAAAGCTTATATTGGGAAGTTAATTGAAAGGACAATTATGAATTTCCATAACAATCAGTTACATCTTTTGCATTATAGCTTTTTATATCTTTGATCTATATAATATTTTGTTTAATATGTCACATTCAAGTTTTATTTTTAGGCTCCCTGCTATAACAATTTATGAGAAAATTTGTAAGGTATAGTTTATGATGATTATACACTGCACAATGTTGCTATGGGACATTCTAATAATTTATAACTTTGTTATGTTTTCTTGATTTCCTACAAATTATTAGAAATCAGAGATTATAAGTTATCCACTACTGAACAATACTCATTCCTAGTACTTCTTCACGCCATTAAATATTATGAGGTATCATATTACAAATGATCAAAGCACCCATTGTACTCTCAAATAGTTACCCATCCTCTTTCACATCTGTGTGTTCAAAGTACCAATGCCTCATGAGATAGGATGCTAGTTACATACAAGAGCTTTATTCCCAAGTCCCAACAACACAACATATAAGAAAAAGGAATTTATATCCAAAACTGGCTCTTCTTTTGTTAGACAGGGTAAATTTAAAGGATTCCATTTATCTGGGGGCATATCATTGTGCTTCAACTTAAAATTCGCAATAGAAAATCATCCCACTTAAGCAGTTAATAATGAGTGCCAAATAACTGCAAATAGTTCCTGCATTCCTACTTATTAAAAACAAGAACTACAAATAAATTGTATGCTTATTACGCAGCTAATCAACATATAAAATTTACTTCATTGAGGATTCTAAGGATAGCAAAACTTTGTTTCATATATATGCCAAAAACTTAGTAAATGACATCGTTTGCTAATTCCTGTCAAAGTGCCTTTATTATCTCTAAAGTAAAAGAACAGCAATTACACTAACCTCTAAAAGTATGTTTATTTGTCACCAAAGAACAAAAAAAAAATAGAGAACTCTGAAAGTAAGTTCATGTCTCAATGCAACTATAGAAAAAAAGGAACTTCTAGAAATCAATTTTTCTTTTCTTGTTTTTTTCTAAAAATGATCTTGCACTTAGTTTTGTCAAAACACAATGTTCACCCAATTAGGAATGAAAAATGAGAAAGCCCTAAATACTAAATAATACGCCAAGTTTCGTGTCAATTCAGGTAAAATATTATGATGAAAAATCACACCATTGAAGCGAAAGAATTAAAAAAAGAAAAAAGAAAAAGAAAAAGAACTACTATATAGTGCATATTATACACTTACAGAGAGCGTGTATGATGCATTGGCTGGGATATTGGGACGAATGCTATCCAAATCAAGCAATATGTATTCTTCCTCTTCCTCAACATTCTCACTCTTATCTGTGTTGGTCTCCATTCCTATATGAAATCATATACAAACAGCTCAATAAAGAACCACAAAGAAATAATTCTTTTGCTTTTTATGCAAAACAGTGAGTATGAATTATCCAAGAAATGGGTTTTTCCTAGGCAAACTCATGGATAAAAATAGATAACTATCCAAAAAAAGTTCAATGAATAAACAAAATTCGTAGTGGATTTAGACAATTCTATCGTTTCTTTCCTAGTTATACGAGCTTGGGCTTCTCCTATAGCTATTTTATACCAAAATTTGAAGCTATGGATCTCTGTCTGATCAGAAACATCATAATCGATCCAGAACTCAAAAAAATACAGTAAAATTCAAATTTTCTCATAAAAAATTTAAATCTCAATGCATCCAATATTGCAAAATATAAATGGCAAACAAAATTTTCTCCTTTTTGCAAGTGCCAACCATGATTCCTGGTTCTAGATTGAGAGGGAGAAGGACATTTGAAGTTCCCTCCGTTCCTCTTTGTGATGGTTAACATTACCTTTTCATAGTTCAAGCAGTCACAAAGTAAAAGCAGCAATAGAATTAAGGAATTCATGTTAAGGCCTACTATGATCTTTGGAATTCCAATAATAATGAAATGAAAAGAAAAGGAACTTTGCCTTTCGAAGTAGAGAGATAAGTGAAAAATTTGACAGTAATTCAAAGAAAATCTGAAAAAAGAAAAGAAAAGGAACTTTTTCTTTTGGAGGGATGAACCTAATTTAATTCATAGATTCAAAACAAAAAACTGAAAAAAGGGAATTTTCTTTCTTTATATAGAGATATGAACTGAAAAACCAGGCCCTAAATCCAATAAAAACTGAAAAAAAAGAAAAAACAGAAAAATTTTCTTTAGAAGTAGAGAAAGAAAGTCAATTATACAACAAGAAAACTAGAAGAGTTCAATTTGAGAAGGGGAGGCCTTTATTTTTCTGGCGATGGGGAATGTGCTTTTGCAGGAGACTCAGTTCCTGGGTTGCAATAATGGGTGGATATTGCGAATAAGAATTTGAGTGTTTTTTGCATAGAGAAAACTGCACTCACAAGCTTACTATGATCCATAGCCAATGTAAAACCCAAAACAAAAATCGATCTATTCCAGGACTCAGGTTTGAAACTCACTACCAGGCTAGCCGAGCCCTCAATCAAGTGCATCGAGTCCGCAAAAAACCAAGAATGCACAAAAAAAAGGGAAAAGACCAAAAAAAATCTTACAAAAAATATATTAAAAAAAAAATCTTTTGTGGAAAAAATATACAAAATTATATTGGGGTTGTATACCATAAGATCATTGACTTTCAGTACAAGGAGGTCATATGAGGGTTTCAGTTTCCCCAGGAAAATCCTGGTTGCTGAGTTTCCAGGAAACTGAAAGGGAAGTTAAACTTGGTAGCCTGAAAACTGGGAATCTGGCGCTGGTATTTTCACCTATTTGGCAGTGGGAAAACTGGAAATTGCCTGTCTTAACTGTTCATGATGTATTTCACCTGTTCACCACATGAATGGCATGTATAATACCTCCTATATGGATTTTTTACAAACCTAGATGTAAATGTTAAGTATGGTTGGGTGCAACATAACTTAAATGGATAGGATACAGTACTGCTAGTTGATGAACTTGCCATATTCACACCAACGACTACGGTACTGCTACTTGATGAACTTGCCATATTCACACCAATAACTAAGTAGTATGAAGCTATTAAACATTCAATTCGTAATATCATAAGCACAATTAAGGTTTTAGAAATTTATACTTTGATAATCTCATGTCTTGCCCTACCTATCCTCAACCAACAAATTAGACATAACTAAGGAGATTTAATCAGGTATTTCACATTTATTTTTTGATTGGTTGGATCTCAAGTGAGAAGATATTATGCTTCCAATAAATGCAATGAAGAGCAATATAGAAATAAAACCAGGACGGACGAGTAAAATCAACTCAAAAAAGAAATTTATACTTCTGCTAAATACTTCCAATCTTCTAATTACTGCAAATGGTAAGAAGAAGGAATCTAACTGTATATACGTGATAGAGTATAGTGCGAACTAATTGCAGTAAGCTAGGAAATTGACCATCAAAAATTGAATAAAGCATGTCCAATCAGCTGAATACAATAGTGGCATTAAATTCTTAAGTTCTTGCAGAATAGCATATATAACATTGATTGAAGACTAGGCAACCATACTTAAAAAAGGGAATTTCATTCATCCAATTGAAGCATGTCAATGAAGTTCTATATTGCGCAAAACAGAGAAAAAATATACATAAAACATCTCATAATCAACTAAAGGTAAAGAGGCATTATTTGGATCCTAATCAACTACCCAAAACTGGTGGTTAGGGTTGCGAGTAGCATAAATGAAAACATGGGTAGCAAAATTTACATCCAAAATAGAGCAATAAAAATGAAAATTTCAGTTGGAAGATCCAAAAATATGAATTACAACAAAGAATTTAAACTGCATGATTTTTTATTTTTTTTTTATTTTTAGCAATATAACTTATTTCCTGAAAATCCAATGGAAAAAAACAGAATCCTTATAATCACTTAATCCTAGTTCATCATAAAATGCAATACATTTCTAATCAGAATGCCTCCGTAACACAAAAATCAGCATGAAAGCGCAAAAAAACAGAAGCTCTGGAAACACTACACTGAAAAAACATAAAGCTCTCAAAGCATGAAACCGTAATCCACAAACTAAACCCCATTTTCTAAAGACCAAACGTATTTTCTTAAAACTTGAGACCCTTAAATTCCAAATCCAGTAGCTCTGTGACCACTAGGCCCTATCTCCCAGATCCCAAACCCTAATTAATCCAAAACCAGAAGACATTGCATATATATCAGAGCACACAAGCTCTGAAAATTATGTATGAAAAGATAAGAGATATTAAGCAGAGAGACAGCTCGTATGCTCAGAGCTTACCTCAGGTGGAGATGCGTTGGGAGGGAGAGTGGAGTGAGTACGAACGGTTTGCAGGAGAGAAGTGGGTTGGGAGACGCTTATAAAGTTTTCCTTCACCAGCACAGAGGGAAAATAATGGGTTCTGAATTTTCCTACCACGCCGTGAATCAAACAGAGGAAATCTCACTAATTAACTAATTTAAAGTGTATTTTGATATTTGAATTTTTTTTTTTTTAAGATTTTGTACCCGATTAATTCACTATATTTGATTTCATAACCAAATAACAATTGTTACATTATTA